GGGGGGGTTACACTGGGTTAGAGACTATGTTAACTGGGTTAGAGACTATGTTACCTGGGTTAGAGACTATGTTACCTGGGTGAGAGACTATGTTACCTGGGTTAAAGACTATGTTACCTAGGCAGTGGGTTAGAGACTGTGTTACCTGGGTTAGAGACTATGCTACCTGGATTAAAGACTATGTTACCTGGGTTAGAGACTATGTTACCTTGGTTAGAGACTATTTTAGCTGGATTAAAGACTATGCTACCTGGTTTAGAGACTATGTTACACTGGGTTAGAGACAATGTTACCTGTGTTAGAGACTGTGTTACCTGGGTTAGAGACTATGTTACCTGGGTTAGAGACTAATTTACCTATGTTAAAGACTATGTTACCTTGGTTAGATACTATGTTACCTGGGTTAGAGTCATGTTGGAACTTCGTTTGAGGATATCCACCAGCCACTTGATGCCTTGGTCTGTGATGAGAGCACAGCCGTTAAGATCCACACCTGTGAGGTTATCCAATGGAGTCTGGAACAGGTCATGACAATATATATTGATAAAACATTTAATATTACAAAAGATTGCATTTATAAAACATGGTATTTATAATCATTTATAAAAACTGAAACTATTTTCCAATTTTGGCACTGTCAGCATCCCTGGGGGTAACACTTGCTCAAGTATAATCTTTGATTCCCTGGTCCAAAGAATGTTTGTTTTTGTAAATTTGTAAACTTGGTTGAAATATAATCAACTGTTCAAGATGATTAGGCTTTTAAATTCAAAAATACCATTCATTGTCCAGCTTTCTGATGAGTTACATTATTTCTATGCATAACAATTGATTCATAGGTCAAAGAGACCAATAGTGTAGTAATGTTTAAATGGAGAAGTTGATGGATGGATGACGGCCATCATACAGTGGTGTAGAGCTCTCCAGGCCAGGTGAGCTAATGAAACATTGCATTTATAAAACCATACAGTTATAACACCTTGTATCATAAAACATGTTCATTAAACATTGCAATTTTAATGCATTACATTTATAAAACAATGTTATATAAAATCATATTGACAAATATATTTTATGCTACCTTTGTGTCTAACGATTTCTTTATAAAAAATACATATGACAACCTCTTAAAGATAAAATATGTGGTTCCATGGTATAATTCATAGATCCAAACTGTTTATAATAAAATGTTTTGTATATATACATATTAACAAAGTATACCATTTGTTTTATAAAATATTGATGCTCTGTCCAATTCTCAATCCGATCCTTAAGCAAATTAAGTATTTTTATATAAGTGTTTTTTGCCTTGATTATGATTACATAACCGACAAAGTTTGGTGGTAATAAAAGTCAATAGAAGTTGCTATGTGGGACACATTACAGTTAGACTAACTATCTCCATTGTAAGTATTATCCTGGTACCAGACTTTACCTTGATGGACTGAAGCAGAGTCCACAGCACAGCGTCTGTACAGTAGCCATTGAGACGGAAGTCCACCAGTGTCACCTTTTCATTGATCATACTGGTCACTTCATTCTGTTTAACACAATCAATGTAATCTTTTAAACATCTCAAGTTAATTTCCATTTTCTCCATAAAATAAAGTTCAGTTTTTTTTATAGCATATGGTGAAAATATCACCCCATATATAATGTTATATAATTACATGTAGCTTGTTGAGTTGGATTGTCAGACCTTGAAATAGTCTGGTCAATTTGACATCACTGGAGTAATGTCACTTCCCCATTCCTTGTAAAGTGACATTTTAAATTTGCTGGAATAATGTAACTTCCCTATACCTTGTAGAGTGACATTTTAAATTTGACATCACTGGAGTAATGTCACTTCCCTATACCTTGTTGAGTGACATTTTAAATTTGACATCACTGGAATAATGTCACTTCCCTATACCTTGTTGAGTGACATTTTAAATTTGACATCACTGGAGTAATGTTACTTCCCCATTTCTTGTTGAGCGACATTTTATTTTCAAACCTTACCACAGTCTAGTGAATTTGATATCTCTGTAATAATGTCACTTACTTGTAGCTTATCAAGCGGAATGACACTGCGTAGCCTGGAAGTTTCCTTATCATACGTAAGGATGCTCCGGCTCTGTAGTAAGGGCGCTGACTCCTCCATGGCTTTGGTTTTGGCTCAGAGCTTTATCATGGTTGCAGGATCTAATAAACAAAGTAAAACCTTATTCACCAGAACATTGATAAGTGTGTTCTCCAGACTAAAACATGAGGACTCTTATACTTATTTGGGAAACAGTGAGTCTGGCAAGTATTCTCAGGGTTTTAGTTCTTTTTAAACACAATAAATTCTTTGTGCAGACCACTTTATTCTTTCTTTATGTCAATCTTTAAAACAGTTACAGTAATTAGATTTAACAACATGACAAATACTGTTTGCCAAAAGTCCATTCACACTATGAACTGATGCTGAAACTAATTTTGTCCATTTTACGCCTATTGAGGAATACTTAAAGATACAACTTTTGAAGACAAACCTAAAGATACATAGCAAGACACCTCATATCTAGCATAAACAATCTGACTTCTGAAACCTTAAGTCACAATGATCTCTTTAAGTTGCTTAACCTTAATCCAAAATGACATAAATTCATGTTTACATTACATGTGTGTTATAGTCTAGACAAGAGGCCCATGGGCCTTAACAGTCACCTGAGTCCTACAGTATTTATTTTTGTTGTTGAAATATGAAGTGGAGATAATGATGTCAATCATCCCTACCAACTGGAGTAAAAAATAGTTAAGTATAACTTTAAGTTAAGTTTGTCATCACCATAGGGCGATCAATCCTAGACGGAGTTTCAATTAAATCGGCCAGTATTAGAACTTGACTTTAAGTTTAAAATAGTTTTTCAAAATGGCGGCCGTGGTGGCCATATTGGATTTCTGATCGACCCGAAAAATAACAACACTTTGTCAGGGAGATGTCAGTAGCCATGCATCCCATGAAGTATCAATGAAATTCCTTCGACAATATTTCAGCTTATGTTGAAATTGTAAAATGTTTATGGACAACGCATGACGACGGACAAAGACGGACAGCAATAGTTCACTTGAGCTAAAGCTCAGGTGGCCTAAAATAGCCAAGGTATTTTCAGACATTCTTCTGGATATTCTGCCAAACTGGTTTTATTGATACTGTATTTTTATTGTTCTTCAAGTGTTTTTTGTTTAATCCATGTCAGTTGATTGAGAGATACTAGTACTTGTTTTCTCAGTTTCTGTGACTTATGTGCTGCTGTAGGCATTCATCTGAGAACTCGGGACCAAGTACTGTATAACATTAAACATCATAGGGTCCGGCCCCTGTATAAAGCTCTCTAGATCTCATGGCTGACTGTGGGGCTGGTAACATTCAGACTTTTAACTCAGTAATACTACCTTATTAAGGCAAGGGATTAATGAAAACATGTTCCTGGTAACTGCATGAACAGGTATGTTATTATACTAACAATTTACGTATTCTAATACAATGATGGATAGCCTAGTAGTTTTGTTGCTAGTATTTCACGTACCTACAGGCCGCGACAGATCTAGTGGATCTACACCTACTAATTAATTCAACAGTTCTGTGGTCGCTTGTGCTCTAGTATACTCACAACAGGTAAACATTTTTAGGTTATAAAGGATTTTAGGTTATGAAGGATTTATAACCTATTTCTGAAAATCATTTAGCTAACGAAATACATTGGTATGTATATCCTGAACATATACTGTTTGCTGCTAAAACGTGGACATACATTAGGTATTTACCTTGGAGGTATTGAGAGTATATTGCTAAGCCAACTCACAGTACACCAACTATACATAGATACCAGGCATACCCCACCTAGTACAGGTAATGACAGTACTAACTATTGATTACCTTTATATGGAATGTGTCCTAAGGTTGTGTCATTAAATCATTCATCCTAACACATCAAAGGAGTATACACCTTGTATGTACAGTAGAAATGAATTATAAGGAGTATTTCACCTTACAAAACACTCCACTAAGATATGAAGAAGTGCTTAGGACTTGCAGGAAAATGTCTTACGCATTAACTACACTGATTGTAGTGAGAATTAGTTTGTGATGTATGTAATCAATAACACTGAAGGATACTTCATATTAGCCATGCATGTCCTACGCACATTATCCACCAGAGAAGCTGCTCAATAGTGCCAAGCTACCTCTAGTCACACAGGAAACTACCCTATGAACCCAAACACCCATAACACAGAAGGCTGACATAGCTAAGGAACAGGCTGACAAAGAACAGAAGGCTGACATAGAACAAAAGGCTGACGTAGAACAGAAGGCTGACATAGAACAGAAGGCTGACATAGCTAAGGAACAGGCTGACGTAGCTAAAGAACAGGCTGACGTAGCTAAAGAACAGACTGACATAGCTAAAGAACAGGCAGACATAGCTAAAGAACAGGCTGACATTACTAAAGAACAGGCTGACATAGCTAAAGAACAGGCTAATATAGAACAGAAGGCTGACGTAGAACAGGCTGACACAGAATTGAAGGCTGACATAGAAAAGAAGGATGACATAGAACAGAAGGATGACATAGAACAGGCTGACATAGAAAAGAAGGCTGACATAGAAAAGAAGGCTTACATAGAACAGAAGGCTGACGTAGACCAGGCTGACCCAGAATTGAAGGCTGACATAGAACAGAAGGCTGACGTAGAACAGGCTGACATTAGAGCCTGACGTAGAACAGGCTGACATAGAACAGAAGGCTGACGTAGAACAGAAGGATGACATAGAACAGAAGGCTGACATAGAACAGAAGGCTGACATAGAACAGAAGGCTGACATAGAACAGAAGGCTGACGTAGAACAGGCTGACATAGGAGCCTGACGTAGAACAGGCTGACATAGAACAGAAGGCTGACGTAGAACAGAAGGATGACATAGAACAGGCGGCTGACATAGAACAGAAGGCTGACATAGAACAGAAGGCTGACGTAGAACAGGCTGACATAAGAGCCTGACGTAGAACAGGCTGACATAGAACAGAAGGCTGACGTAGAACAGAAGGATGACATAGAACAGGCTGACATAGAACAGAAGGCTGACATAGAACAGAAGGATGACATAGAACAGAAGGCTGACATAGAACAGAAGACTGACATAGAACAAAAGGCTGACATAGAACAGAAGGCTGACATAGAACAGAAGACTGACATAGAACAAAAGGCTGACATAGAACAGAAGGCTGACATAGAACAGGAGGCTGACGTAGCTAAAGAACAGGCTGACGTAGCTAAAGAACAGACTGACATAGCTAAAGAACAGGCTGACAAAGCTAAAGGACAGGCTGACATTACTAAGCTAAAGAATATCGACATAGACCTGGCTGACATACTAACAAAGAACAGAAGACTGACATAGAACAAAAGGCTGACATAGAACAGAAGGCTGACATAGAACAGAAGGCTGACGTAGAACAGGCTGACGCAGAACAGAAGGCTGACATAGAACAGAAGGCTGCCGTAGAACAGAAGGCTGACATAGAACAGAAGGCTGACATAGAAAAGAAGGCTGATATAGCTAAAGAACAGGCTGACGTAGCTAAAGAACAGGCTGGCGTAGCTAAAGAACAGGCTGACATAGAACTGAAGGCTGACATAGAACAGAAGGCTGACATAGAACAGAAGGCTGACATAGTAAAGAAGGCTGACATAGAACAGAAGGCTGAAATAGAAAAGAAGGCTGACATAAAACAGACGGCTGACATAGAACAGAAGGCTGATAAAGCTAAAGAACAGGCTGACGTAGCTAAAGAACAGGCTGCCGTAGCTAAAGAACAGGATGGCGTAGCTAAAGAACAGGCTGACCTAGAACTGAAGGCTGACATAGAACAGAAGGCCGACATGGAACAGAAGGCTGACATAGAACAGAGGGCAGACATAGAAAAGAAGGCTGACATAGAACAGAAGGCTGATATAGCTAAAGAACAGGCTGACGTAGCTAAAGAACAGGATGGCGTAGCTAAAGAACAGGCTGACATAGAACTGAAGGCTGACATAGAACAAAAGGCTGAAATAGAACAGAAGGCTGACATAGAACAGAAGGCTGATATAGCTAAAGAACGGGCTGACGTAGCTAAAGAACAGGATGGCGCCGACGTAGAACAGAAGGACGTAGCTAAAGAACAGACTGACATTACTAAAGAACAGGCTGACATAGCTAAAGAACAGGCTAATATAGAACAGAAGGCTGACATAGAACAGGCTGACACAGAATTGAAGGCTGACATAGAACAGAAGGCTGACATAGAACAGAAGGCTGACATAGAACAGAAGGCTGACGTAGAACAGAAGGCTGACGTAGAACAGGCTGACGTAGAACAGAAGGCTGACTTAGAACAGGCTGACATAGAACAGAAGGCTGACATAGAAAAGAAGGCTGACGTAGAACAGGCTGACGTAGAACAGAAGGCTGATGTAGAACAGAAGGCTGATGTAGAACAGGCTGACATAGAACAGAAGGCTGACATAGAACAGAAGGCCGACGTAGAACAGAAGGCTGACGTAGAGCAGAAGGCTGACGAAGAACAGGCTGACATAGAACAGAAGGCTGACGTAGAACAGAAGGCTGACATAGAACAGGCTGACGTAGAACAGAAGGCTGACATAGAACAGAAGGCTGACGTAGAACAGAAGGCTGACGTAGAACAGGCTGACATAGAACAGAAGGCTGACGTAGAACAGAAGGCTGACGTAGAACAGGCTGACGTAGAACAGAAGGCTGACGTAGAACAGAAGGCTGATGTAGAACAGGCTGACATAGAACAGAAGGCTGACATAGAACAGAAGGCTGACGTAGAACAGAAGGCTGACGTAGAACAGGCTGACATAGAACAGACTGATTTAGAACAGAAGGCGGACGTAGAACAGAAGGCTGACGTAGAACAGAAGGGTGACGTAGAACAGAAGGCTGACGCAGAACAGAAGGCTGGTGTAGAACAGAAGTCTGGTGTAGAGGATACGAGATCCACTACCAGTATGGTGAAGAGGATATGAGATCACATAGAAAAGAAGGCTGACATAGGACAGAAGGCTGACATAGGACAGAAGGCTGACGTAGCTAAAGAACATGCTGACATAGAACTGAAGGCTGACATAGAACTGAAGGCTGACATAGAACATAAGGCTGACATAGAAAAGACGGCTGACCTAGAACAGAAGGCTGCCGTAGAACAGAAGGCCGACGTAGAACAGAAGACTGACATAGAACAGAAGCCTGACATAGAAAAGGCTGACATAGAACATAAGGCTGACATAGAAACGGCTGATTTAGAACAGAAAGCGGACGTAGAACAGAAGGGTGACGTAGAACAGGCTATAGCTAAAGAACAAGCTGACGTAGCTAAAGAACAGACTGACATAGCTAAAGAACAGACTGACATAGATAAAGAACAGGCTAATATATAACAGAAGGCTGATATAGCTAAAGAACAAGCTGACGTAGCTAAAGAACAGACTGACATAGATAAAGAACAGGCTAATATAGAACAGAAGGCTGCCGTAGGAAAGGCTGACATAGAAACGGCTGATTTAGAACAGATGGCGGACGTAGAACAGAAGTCTGGTGTAGAGGGTATGACATCCACTACCAGCCTGGTGTAGAGGATAGGAGATCCACTACCAGACTGGTGTATAGGATACTAGATCCACCACCAGTGTGGTGTAGAGAATATGACATCCACTATAACAGTCATGTGTAGAGGATATGGCATCCACTACCAGTCTGTTGTAGAGGATATGAGTTCCACAACCAGTCTGGAGTAGAGGAAACGAGATCCACGACCAGTCTGCTGTAGAGGATATGAGAGCCACTACCAGTCTGGGGTAGAGGATATGAGAGCCACCACCAGTCTGGAGTAGAGGAAACGAGATCCACTACCATTCTGGTGTAGAGGATCCGAGATCCAATAACAGTCTGGTGTAGAGAATACGCGTTCCACTACCAGTCTGTTGTAGAGGATATGAGTTCCACAACCAGTCTGGAGTAGAGGATATGAGAGCCACTACCAGTCTGGAGTAGAGGATATGAGATACACCACCAGTCCGGTGTAGAGGATACGAGGTCCACTACCAGGCTGGTGTAGAGGATACGAGATACACTACAAGTCTGGTGAAGAGGATATGAGATCGACCACCAGTCTGGTGTCGAGGATCTGAGATCCGCCACCAGTCTGGTGTAGGAACAGGCTGACGTAGCTAAAGAACAGGCCGACATTACTAAAGAACAGGCTGACGCAGCTAAAGAACAGGCCGACATTACTAAAGAACAGGCTGACGCAGCTAAAGAACAGGCCGACATTACTAAAGAACAGGCTGGCGTAGCTAAAGAACATGCTGACATAGAACTGAAGGCTGACATAGAACAGCCTGATTTACAAAAGAAGGCGGACGTAGAACAGAAGACTGACATAGAACAGAAGGCTGCCGTAGAACAGAAGGCAGGCGTAGAACAGGCTGACATTAGAGCCTGACGTAGAACAGGCTGACGTAGGACAGAAGGCTGACATAGAAACGGCTGATTTAGAACAGATGGCGGACGTAGAACAGAAGGGTGACGTAGAACAGGCTATAGCTAAAGAACAGACTGACATAGATAAAGAACAGGCTAATATATAACAGAAGGCTGACGCAGAACAGAAGGGCTGACATTACTAAAGAACAGGCTAATATATAACAGAAGGCTGATATAGATAAAGACCAGGCTGACGTAGCTAAAGAACATGCTGACATAGAACTGAAGGCTGACATAGAAACGGCTGATTTAGAACAGATGGCGGACGTAGAACAGAAGTCTCGTGTAGAGGATATGAGTTCCACAACCAGTCTGGTGAAGAGGATATGAGATCGACCACCAGTCTGGTGGAGAGGATCCGAGATCCACCACCATGCTGATGTAGAGGATACGAGTTCCACCACCAGTCTGGCGTAGAGGATATGACATCCACTACCAGTCTGGTGTAGAGGATATGACATCCACTATACCAGTCATGTGTAGAGGATATGACATCCACTACCAGTCTGGTGTAGAGGATATGAGATCCACCACCAGTCTGGTGTAGAGGATATGAGATCCACTACCAGTCTGGTGTAGAGGATATGAGATCCACCACCAGTCTGGTGTAGAGGATATGAGATCCACCACCAGTCTGGTGTAGAGGATATGACATACACTACCAGTCTTGTGTAGAGGATATGAGATCCACTACCAGAAATCTATCATTAAAAGCAGCTCAGTGCTTTATATACAATGTACAACAGATAAGGCTGTACAGTATAGCCAGAACAGAAGGCAAATTACAACAGTAGCATTTTAGGTTTATCAACAGTGACAGTATCACCTTAATCAAGAGATTGACAAAGACAATAGAAATATATGCTTCTAAATATGCTATAAATCACAATCCTTTCTTCTAAACCTTCCAACAATATTTCTTCTTCATAATTGGTACAAGTTTTAAGTATAAGCTAAGGGGTGATCATGGGCTTAATTGATCCAATCTGAATAAGTGACCTTGATCTTTCTTCATTATAATTTAAGGAGATTATATATTTTTTGTTTTCATTCATAAAACACCACCAGGTACTACATAGATTTCAAAGGTTTACAATATAGTTTTACCAAGTGTTGTTTTTCAATTCCAATTGAGGAATTATGACCACTGTTGAGGGGGGGGGGGGTAAATACTCACTCAGGGTGACTCTATAGGGATAGCGGTCTGTCAAACATTACACATAACATTTTATAAGAAGGCAATGACATTGCAAGTTTAATCAATTTTATTTATTGTCATAGTTTAAACATTAATAATATATAAACACATGGCAAGCTCAATTGACAGTTTAACTAACAGGTCCTACATAACAGTCAGTGCTTAAATTAAATGTCCAATTGCTATGAAAAACACAAATATTTCTATTACATTTAAATACAGAAAAATTGTCTATAGTAACAAAGCAAAAATATTATAAACAGATCACTTGAACAGTTGAACAGGTGATGAGTGGTATTTACAAGTTCTTTGTTTTGACATATATATATATGATATTGAGGTAAAAAGTCGATAGAAAATGCTGACACTAGTTTTTTATTACACTATGTTAGTATGTAAGTCATTTTATATCGCCTTGCATGCATGGCGTCAACCAATTACCACATGCCTGTCAACTCTTACCTGTAATCAATGGCATACAACAGGTAAAATACCTGAACGCGTCCACGTGCGTGTGAAATACGTATCCCGCACCAAATATAGATTCCCTAGTAACGTATTGGGTTGTACTCTCGTCCAAATATTTGTGTATGGAAGGCTTTCTACAACAAAACAACCGACACCAGACATGTAGATACCGGGTAGGATGTGCTAGTTATCTCCCTTTAGTATGGCCGTTATGTTGTCATAATAAACAGCTCTCGAGAGGGGGCTCTCAGGGGTAATCGATAGTTTAATTCCGTGATACACAGATATATTAATGTAGCACGTGCTATGGATAGTCTGTGCGAATACCTACTACACGAAAGGGACATCCGTAGACCCGCCATCACAACGCAGGATATGTTTATATTATAGATTCTCTCCATTGATTTATTTCTCCCTTTTTTCCTCTTCTCTGAAGAGTTTTCAAGCATAACTTCGGTAACAAAAAAAGTATCTATAGGTCTCGAATTGCGAGCGTCTCTGTTGCTTGTGTAATTGTCGTTATAGACGTCAGACTTCTTTTAGTGTACGAGTGAAATCTATGTCTTGAGTACCGTAATACCCGGTTGGTTTAATAATAATAATATTTATTCAGGTAAAAGGCAGATAATACGTACACGTATTACACATTTTTCAGATTGTCTCTCTTGATAAGGATCAAGATAATTGTACCAATTATGAAGAAATATTTATATATATATATTATCACAGATGTTATTTATATTATGTATGCCATATACCACGGACTTAGATCTAATCTAATTCCGTGCATATACCTAGTAATCATGCAACCAGCTAGTGTTAAAAACTGGATTGGATTCGATTAATTTAGGCCTTTAAATTACATGGAATAACCCATAAAGCCACATTGTGGCTTAATTCCAATATGGTGTCCCTTTGATCTAAATAAATCAATTCAATTCAAAAAACAGTTACATAATTATATAATAGGTATTGATCGTTTGATAATACCATTATGCATAAGACAGTCTTTTATAAAAATAGATATAAAATGTTATAAAAAAAAAAAAAAAAAAAACTATTTTGTCTTGTATCTGTTACCGTGGCGTTCTGGCATCCCCTACCTAACAAGCCCTGGAGAGCAGGTGATCGGGCATCCCCTACCTAACAAACCCTGGAGAGCAGGTGATCGGGCATCCCCTACCTAACAAGCCCTGGGGAGCAGGTGATCGGGCATCCCCTACCTAACAAGGCCTGGAGAGCAGGTGATCGGCATCCCCTACCTAAAAAGCCCTGGAGAGCAGGTGATCGGCATCCCCTACCTAAAAAGCCCTGGAGAGCAGGTGATCGGGAATCCCCTACCTAACAAGCCCTGGAGAGCAGGTGTTCGGGCATCCCCTACCAAACAAGCCCTGGAGAGCAGGTGATCGGGTATCCCCTACCTAACAAGCCCGGGAGAGCAGGTGATCGGGCATCCCCTACCTAACAAACCCTGGAGAGCAGGTGATCGGGCATCCCCTACCAAACAAGCCCTGGAGAGCAGGTGATCGGGTATCCCCTACCTAACAAGCCCGGGAGAGCAGGTGATCGGGCATCCCCTACCTAACAAGCCCTGGAGGGCAGGTGATCGGGCATCCCCTACCTAACAAGCCCTGGAGCGCAGGTGATCGGCATCCGCTACCTAACAAGCCCTGGAGGGCAGGTGATCGGGCATCCCCTACCTAACAAGCCCTGGAGAGCAGGTGATCGGCATCCGCTACCTAACAAGCCCTGGAGAGCAGGTGATCGGGTATCCCCTACCTAACAAGCCCTGGAGAGCAGGTGATCGGGCATCCCCTACCTAACAAGCCCTGGAGAGCAGGTAATCGGGCATCCCCTACCTAACAAGCCCTCCTTCGTTCCATGTACCAGATATATTATAGGAGACATAAACTTACTTGTCCCATAGGCTATAATCAATAAAATACATGATGCTGGTAGTTGAATGATATAAAATATGAAGTGATTAACCATATAACGGCATTTAAACAATTAAATATATATAGTATTAACTAGTACTTAAAATGGTACTTGCCAAAGGCTGGTGTTTGGGCCAATCCGTACCGACCAAACCCTTAGACATTAACGTACAGTAATTGATTGGCATGTACCGGTATATAACTTAAACTAATAAAAACAAGTTGAAATAAATAAGATAGTAACAAGTGTATCCCGTATGGAATAGTTTAAATCTGATACAACCAATACATTTTAACCAATTGAATTTTATTAAAATCTGTTTGCTTCTTGCAGAAGAGGGCTGTTGGTGGTTTGGCCAGTCCTACCAACCAAACCCTCTTATTGCATAAAGTAATAGTAATTGACACTTTGTCACAACATAAAAAGGTGGAATATAAATAGGATTTAAGTCAGAAGTATAATGCCTTTGAATAATTCAATTGACAAATTTTAACAAGTTTATCTAAGTTAATTGCCACTTGCAGAAAAGGGCTGGTGGTTGGGCCAATCCCTACCGACCAAACTCTCATTCTGCATATTAAGTAACAATATAGTATAATTTAATAACAGTGTTTATGATACTATTTGAATTAAGAAATAATAGAGTATATCACTGAAATTTCACCATTACCCTTTCACAAAATCACATTTTTGTTCCGATCTAAACTTTGATGTTAAATGTTGTTTGACCAGAATTTTGAACCTGTGTAAGTTGTTGGTTGCCTTAATATTATCTGGTAATGCGTTCCAGTCCTTTATTGCATTGTAAGAGAAATATGTGGACTCTACCCCACTTATATCATGTGTATAAAAGTTACATTGGGTTGATCTTGTACACCTCTTGTTGTTCCTTTCAAAACCTTCATTCATATACGTTGGACTTTGTTCATGAAAAAAAAAAAAAAAACATGGTTTAATCTTAGTTGAACCACTCTATTACTTACATCCAACATATTCAATTTTTCCAGTTCTGCAAAAGTTAGTCTTTTCCTCCAATCTTAATCCAAAGTAAAACGTTTTAAGTAACTTGAAGTTTGTGTTCAAGGTTTTTGGAGATACCCTCGTACAAAGATGAGCAAGCATAGTCAAAACGACATTGGATTAGTGCCGAGCAGAGTGGGTTTTTTTATGACAAAGATAGACTTTTTCTGTTTCGGTATAAACATTTTTGTCTCTGATTAATTTTCTGTATAGCATTGTTCACAATATGTTGTCCTGAAAGAAACTGGTCTAAGATTACACCCACATATTTTACATGTGGTTTGGACTCGTTGCGTTTGATTTTAAAACAAGCAGAAGCTAAATTTCTCAATTTTCCTTTAGGACCAAATAGGACACTTTCTGTTTTCCCAAGATGAAGTGAAAGTTTATTATCTACGAGCCAATCATGACAGGATTCCAGGGGTTTTGGATAATTTATCTGATATTATGTTGGGGTCTTTGTGTGAAATAATAGTAGCACTATCATCTGCATATAGTAGGAGATTGCACTCGGAGTCGATACTTATCTGCATGTCATTAACATACGTTAAAAATAAAAGTGGGCCTAGTATACTACACTGGGGTACCCCACAGCTAGCTAGTTTACATCTTCAGTGTTGGAATTTGTTTTGTTAACTTGAACAGGTTGTTTTCTTTGCATGAGATAAGATTTACACCATGCAATAGACTCAATACCCATACATTTAAGTTTTTCATAAAGAATATCATTGTCAACTTATTAAATGCTTTTTGTAAATCTAAAAGTACCATGCCTGTAAAAAGACCTTTAGCTGCCTGGGACTTAGTATAGTCTACACGATGGATGAGGCAAGAATCAGCTGAATGAGATGTTCCAAATCCTGACTGGTGTTTGTTTCCAGTTGTTTGTATACTGTCCTATCAAGTATTTTTTATACAATGCAGGGAATACTGACTGGCCGATAGTTTTCAGTCTTTAATCTATCACAGTTTTTGAATACAGACTTTACTATTTACCCTCAGTTATAGATGTATTGATCAGAAAAGTAATTTGAATTTTTAACACTGATGCTGCATCTTTTAGAAAGCGAGCTGGAATGCCATCCAGGCCTGTACTTTTAGATGTTTTAAGATTAGAAAGTTCTTTATACGCAAATGATTCACTAATATGTTACCAATGAAATTTGAATAAAAGCCTCTAAATAAATAAGAAGTAGTATTGTAAATTTCCTTACAGCTTGGCAGTCTTTCCACAAGTTTGGCAGCAATAGTTGTAAAATATAAGTTAAAATAATTGGCAATAGAAAATCCATCATGGCAATTTTTGCTATTTATGTTAAGTACGACTTTTGTATCCTTTTCATAGCCAAGTTTTCAAAAACTTTTCCATAGATTTTTAGAGCTGTTCTTATTTTCAAATATTTGTTCATCAAAATAATCAACCTTGGCTTTTTACATTTCCTTTGAACTAAATTTCTGTAATAGCAGAAAGTTTTGTTATCTTCAGTTTTACCTGACTTTTTAAATGTAAGTAAAATAAATCTCTCTGCTAGATAAGATCCAAAATTTCAGCAGACATCCATGGTTCTATTCGTTGTTTGATACGAACTTCTTTGACTGGATCAACTTCATCAAGTACTATCATAAATATATTACAGAAAGAGGTCCATGACTCGATCGTTTACATCTTTACCATTAAAACATTCTTCCCATTTGGATTCAGCTAATTTCCTAACAAACATATCTTTGTCATAATGTTTGGTTGGACGTATAGTTACATCATTGTGCCTGTCAAAAACACCTTTTGTTGGTTTTTCTGGTACAGTACGTTAAAACATGGTCACTGATACCAACAGGGATAACACCTGACTAACTAATGCGTTCTTTATTGTTACAGATAATGTGATCAATAAGTGATTTGCTGGTTTCAGTTATCCGTGTAGCATGCATAATAATTTGGTTAAAATCAAATAATTTCAAAACATTGCTTTAAGATTGATAAAGGCCCTTGCTTATCAAGGCAATATTGACGTCTCCAAGAATAATAGTTTCGCAGTCTGCTCTTAGTTGCAGCACTATGTTTTCAAACTGTTCTCCTATAAAATCAGATTGTTTGGGTGGTCTGTAGCAGGTGCCAACAATGATAGGTTTGGTTTTAGGCAAGTGTACTTCGATAAAAAGAGTTAACGCCAGATCGCCTCTTATGCAAACTCCGCCCCTGACC